TTGCATTTTTAAAATTTCTGGGATTTAAAAATAAATTTTGGATTTAAAATTAAGTTATCAATTGTAATGTAAAATTTCGAGTTAATTTGGGTTACAAGGATGTATGGGTCACATGGTCACATGATCAATTATATGTTGATTTAGATCACATAATTGTACGGTCACAAGGTAAAAAATATCACAGTTCACAGGATGATTTAGGTCACGCGTGATAATACGTCACAGAGTGAATTATGTCACATGGTCACAGATCACAAGGTCACAAGATAATAGGTGGCATGGTCACAAGTGACTTGGTTACGTGGTCTCAGGTGACATGATGTCATCAATTTGTTTTGTTTTGCAGTTGCCTTTTATATATAAAATAAACAAGATTGACATTAAATCAAAGGTACACACTAAAAGACATGGTAACTTGGTCACAGATTGACATGGTCACATGGTACCATATTAACATGGTCACATGGTACCATATTAACATGGTCACATGGTACCATGTTCACATGGCCACATGGTACCATGTTCACATGGCCACATGGTACCATGTTCACATGGCCACATGGTACCATGTTCACATGGCCACATGGTACTGTGGTATCATGGCCACATGGTACCATGTTCACATGGTCACATGGTACCATGTACACATGATCACATAGTGTCATGGTACTGTGGTATCATGGTACCATCTATTTTCATGGAATTAAGAGTATACTAAAGAAGGAAGCATCTGACGAAACATTTCTTTTTTATTTGGAGGAATTGATGTCATCGAGTTCATGACTTGGAAATTCGTTCGACAAAGTCTTCTAAGAAGAAGAAAAAGGGAAAAAGTTTGATAAATGAAGAAGAAGTAGAAGATGAGCGAGGAAAAGAAGACGAAGAACAACAAGGACAAGAACAAGAAGGACAAGAAAAACAAGAATTATATGTGATGACAATGCCACCAAGATGCGTGAGCAGTTGACAGCCGTCATATTTGTCAATAGAAATGTGCAAAAGTAGAATTAAGAACTTATTTATGTTATGAACTTATTTCTTTTTGTTATGACATTTTGTTTGTTTATTATAAACCTACAAAATTTTATTATTATGATATTATGTCTTATGTTTATTTTATATTTGAACATATGAGGTGAAAAATATTGGAAGGTAAAAAATTTGGGTTGAAAAATTTTGAAGAGAAAAAAATTTGGGCTAAAAAATTTTGGAGGAAAAAAATGGGTTAAAAAATATTGGAGGGTAAAAAATATGGGTTGAAATGTTGGGTCCCACCGAAATTAGTGTTGAATTGTCAACCGTAACTTTTTTGCATACTTGGGTTACACTGGACCCCACCAGGAATATTACATGTTCAAACTGGGACCCGCAATATTTCGGTCACAATGGGTCACAATTGGTCACAAGGTCGATTTAGTGGATTCTTTCAAATGAATCGATCTGATTGTCATCACATCTTCCATATGCACCATTTTGAACTATATTAAACTATAATAATTGAATTATTCGAATTTTGTGTGCAAAAGTAGTTCTCACAAATGTGATACATTAGTGTTCATAGTCTTTTATGAAGAATTTTGACAATTTTAGTCTTTTTGTATTACAAACTCGTTTTAACGTTTTGTAATTTTGTCAACATAATATTTGTATTCCTTATACCTTATAATAACAGACCAAAGCTTGGAAATTACGTTTTTACATGTATTTACCTTCGTCACTTGGTCACAGGTCACATCCGGTCACAATGGTCACATAGTGTAAAATTGACATTGGTCACATTGGTCACATGCTGGTCACATGGGACCCAACCACTACTCATATGAGATAATTTATTTACTGTTTTTTAATATGTAGAATGAAACCAAAGTATTATAACGTATTATTTTAACACACTATTATACAAAGATCTTAATGTTCTAGTGTACAAAGACAATATAACATTATTATACAATTTATATTTATTTATTCATTCAAAATTAGGGTTTCTCTCAAACTTTGTTGATGTTGATGCTCCTGTTGCGACATGAGATTATATTTTCTTACCACTCCAATGTTTCGAGTTTAAGATCAATGTCGTACGCAACTTCCAATTACAGCCAGATCCAACAAATTTGTATCTTATTTTCTATAATTCTAATTCGAACAAGTTCACTGTTTCCTTTAATAGTTGGCAAATAACTCAACTTGATCTTCGTTTTATCTTTGTCCGACTTCATCTCGACACAT